TATTTATTTAACTTCTATAAAAGATGACATAACTTTTAGTGTTTAGACTTTGGGTATGACAGGCATATTTTCTCTGGGAAATAATTAGCCCATCATAATACTGTTACACTTGTAAGCCCTATTTTGCCCTATTACTTATTTAGTTCTGTTACATCTTTATTCCTGTCTGAGGTACATATTGTTGTATGAGACCCCGCCTTTGTTACACGTTTAGCCCTTTCTCAATTTCATATTATCTGGTTCCCTATCAGTCCCTATCTAACAGACGTCCATCTGACACCTGCCTTATGTAGCAGCCTGGCCAACTACAGTCATATACCAATTGGTTGTGCGAATACAAAAACTTGCTTCTAGCAAACACATTTAAACATTCATTCACATATACATACTTACAAACATTTCAAAATTTTTAAAATTATCTTCTTACCTCTAGTCAATTTGTTAATTTTAGTAAAGAATGTGATAGTACACATATAGGACAACCATGCTATTGAAAAGCATGGTTGTTGTAAATAATCTCTGAACGATTCATGGTGATATATTATAGAAATAGGCAAGGTTAGGTCACTTTTAAATATCTAATATGAATTCATTCTCCAACAAAATATCCCAGAAAGTACACGTTTCCTATTACTCTTATGTCAGCCCCCACCCGCAAAAAAGCTGAAGGCATTTTAATGATATAAATGAAAAGAAATTTCAATTGAATACATTACTTAGTTAAATTAATTTTACCTTGTCATCATCTTCGCAAGTCATTACGTTCGAGAAAGGAATCTCAGCTTTGAACATTTTGCGACAATGCATAAGTTGGACTAGCAGGTAGCATACGGTCTTGAACTTCATTCTTTTGGCAGGCTTTATGTCTGAGAGAATAAGCCCTGGAAATATCTGTAAGAATGTTCATATGAAGAGATTAATTAATTTTCAGAATTGATACAAATCAACCTATAAGCTATCAGAAGTCTGATGCCCTTTTGACTGTTACAAAGAAATGATTGATAACATTCATTATGCAAATCTTAATGGTACTACAATATATTTTTTTTAATGTCTGCTGAATGTTGGTGTTTAGTTTTAGGCACTCCAATTTAATTATTCTTTACATTGTACATATTAAAGATTGGCAATATAGCTACATTTATTTTTTTAAAAAAAATCTTAGAACTACAGAGCTGGAAGGGACTATATGGATCACTGAATCCAGTCCTTGTCAAGGAGGCACTAGTGGGGAATTGAACTCTCAACCTCTGATTCTGCAGCCAGAGACCTAAACTACTGAGCTGTCAGCTGTTCCATATTACCTGCGAGACACCAAAAAGAATACTCATTCAACTTTACAAGTTGTAAACATTCATTCATATATACATACATATATTATTATACATATATTATTATATATAAAAACATTTTGAGGAACCTTACAAACATTTCAAATTATGCTTTTGTGTTTTGAATTTAAAAAAAACATTTTCTTACCTCCATTTAATTTGTTAATTTTAGTAAGGAGTGTGATAGTATACACATAGGACAACCATGCTATTGAAAAGCATTGTTGTAGTAAATAATCTCTGAACAAATCATGGTGATACACTGTAAGTTAAAACATTTGATTCTCCATCAGATCTGATATTCCCCTTGAAGCCACGCTCCTACAAGGAGGTGCACCCAGAGTCAGGCAATAGGAATGTAGATTCTCTCAAACTTTATTCTAGATTATGTTCAGTGTAAGATGGATAGTTACACATGCACAAATCCAATGTCAATCTTCCTGAAATGCATGGCATAGGCCAAGTCACCAGTAAGAAAATCTCCACATTAGAATGCCCTCCTAATTTTTGAAATCCACACCCTGAAATTAAAACTATATATAACTGGAGATGGAAGGAAAAAAAGACAAAGCACTGGAGAAGAATGCTGAGGAAAGTACAAATAAGGCTCAGGAAGCACCATGAAAAAGTGTTATAATTAGCAGCAAAAGAAGGAGAAGACACACTTCATCACTGGAACTGCAAAACCACTTTCAGATTCTGTCAGACAGCATGCAGAGGAGACTCCACAGGAGGACATGAGAAGGGCTGAAGCTCAGCAAAACAGTCACTAAACCACTCTCTACGAAAAGAAGAGCAGATGTAGTAGGAAACTCCCTACTGCATGAGATTGAAATTAAAGTATCCCAGGAAGACTTGAGAGGTACACTGTCTCCTTGAAGGACAGATTAGGGATGTGATGAAAGAACTGTCATCACACATAAAACCCACAAATGACACAGCCAAGAGGAGCTATGAAGAAATGATGTCGGACTTCGAAGCTCCTGGAAGGAAACTCAAGGACTTTGGGGCCCAGATAGTCTTCTCATCCATTCTACCAGTACTCAGAAGAAGAACAGAAAGGAAAAGGGAAATACTTCAGGTGAATTACTGGCTATGAAGATGGTTCTGACATGAGAGACTTGGATTTTAGGAGTACGGGCTAAGCTTTCTGGAAGATGGACTGCTAGCAAGTGATTCTTTGCACCTCACAAGAGCTCAGAAGAATGTGCTTGGCCACAGCATGAAGAACCTCATCAGGAGGGCTTTAAGCTGAACTGGAATGGTGTGGGGAGACAAAAGCTGAGAGGTAAAGATGGAAGAAGGCTATTATTTTCTTGAAATCATGGATGAGGGGTGAAGTAGCAGATGACTGGAGGAGAGCTAATGTTATCTCCATCTTAAAAAATGGCAAAAAGGAGGAACCAGGGAACTCCGGACTGGTCAGCCAGGCATCAACCCCAGGGAAAGTAATAATTCAAAGCCAATGTGGATTTGTCAAGAATAAATCCTGCCAGACTAATCTGATCTCATTTTTTGATCATGTAAACTCCCTGGTAGATGGTATGAATGCTCTAGACATAATATACCTTGACTTCAGTAAAGTCTTTAACAAAGTGCCTCAGGATATTCTGATTAGCAAGCTAACTAGGAGAGGGCCGGATAGAACAGATGCCAGGTGGATACATAGGTGGTTACAGAATTGTACTCAGAGAGTGATTATCAATGACTCATTCTCAAACTGGGGAAATGTAAAAAGTCAGGTACCACAAGTCTCAGTCCTGGGCCCAGTGCTCTTCAACATTTTAATTAATGATTTGGATGAGAAAATATAGGAAATATCAAATTTGCAGATGACACAAAAGTGGGTGAAATAACTAATATCTTGGAAGATAATTCAAACGCTCTTAATAGGCTTGAGCACTGGGCTGAAAACAGGAGAATGAAATTTAAGAGAGATAAGAGCAAAGTTCTACACCCAGAGGGGAAAAGCCAAATACACAGTTAACAAGATGATGGATACTTGGCTGAGCAATGTTGCAAATGAGAAGGATCTTGTACTTGTTGTACATCAAAATCTGAATATGAGCCATCAGTGTGATGTGGCTGCAAAAAGGCAAATGCTATTTTAGGATGCATTAACAGAAGTATATTCTCCAAATCCCATGAGAGCCTAGTTCCCATGTATTCAGCACTGGTTAGGCCTCATGTAGAGTACTTTGTCCAGTTCTGGACACCACACTTCAAGAAGGGTGCCAACAAACTGGAGCAAGTACAGAGGAGGGCAACAAGGATGATCAGCGACTGGAAGCCAATTTGTATAAGGAAAAACTAAAGAACTGGGCATGTTTAGCTTTGAGATAACACTAAGGGTAGATATGATAGCATGCTGGAGGCATTCAAGAGAAAATTTGACAACCATCTGTCAGATCTCCTTTGACTTGGATTCCTGCAGATCTTCTTTGACTTGGATTCCTGAGAAAATTTGACAACCATCTGTCCTGCAGATCTCCTTTGACTTGGATTCCTGCATTGTGCGTGTGTGTGTGTGGGGGGGGGGTTGGATTCAATGACCTTATTGGTCCTTTCCAACACAATTATTCTATGATTTAACACACACGAGAAAGGAATTTATGTTGCTCTTGTTTCTTTCCTACTGGTACAACTCAAGAAATGCATCCTGAAGTTTAGTGTGGCATTCACCCTTATTATGTTAAATAAGTCATGTATTATTCAAGACTTATGCTGATGTGGCTAAGAGGTGGGGCCACTAGAGATGTTAAAAGGCGGAGCCAGAGAGGAGGAGTTTAGTTTACAGTCTGGATCTGAGTTTGAAGGGGGAGAGAGAGAGTTAGTTTGGGAATCTGAGGAGTGATTAGTCTGAGGAGTGAATAGTAACCTGTAAGATAATATAGAAGATTGTTATTGATGCTTGATGAACCTGAAGAAGATACTTATGAATTATTATAGAAACATCTGTAGTCAATAAACCTGTTTTATTCAAATGACAGTGATGAATGGACCTTCATCTTTCCTAAGTAAAGTACGTTGATAAAGAAATCAACTGGTGGCAGCATGTGAAAAGGTGGGGGTTTTTTTGTTTGCCTTCGTGAGCTCTCTGTTTTGGGGAAACAAACAGGGGACACAAGGGGCAAACGTCACATTTAGCTTCTGAGTTATTTTAATTCAAGTTTGTCCTTTTACTTTGCTTCTTTTTAAAGATGACCATCTCCATTGGATTCACCACTTGTTCTAATAATAATAATTTATATTACATTGATGTAGTGTAATATTATTTAGCATGAAATGTCACTGCAACTCTTCACATTTTATAATAAGTAAATCCTACTGGGCTTGATGGGCCTTAGCCTTAAGTAAATCGGTATATGATTAGTATAAGAATTGGTACAGGAATAGTAATAGGTATTTTCTTAATACTAAAAGAATATAACTTCATGAAATCTGCTTTACTTTCCAGGCACTCATGCACTAACAGGAATGGAGCTGATGGATCTGAAAAGCATGTCTGTTTATGCTGGATGACAAAACAGAGTGACACTGATGAGTGAAGCTGTCACAGCTTCCAGCACAGCTGCTGTCATGCAATTCTGAACAAATCTCAAGTTAATAAAATGCTGGGTCTCTTGATTAAACATTGAATACATCAATGTCTTACCCTTTCCACTCCATATGCAATCTTTATGTTTGTACTTTGTACAAAAACAGACTCTAATGTGTAAGCTTTGAAAAATGTCATAAATATTCCTGATAATTTGTTTTCTTTTCAGGCTACAAGTCTCCTTTCCCAAACTATAAAGGTTTGTAGGTTTCACGTACACAAAAGGGAAATTTCCACCAGTTGAAGAAATGGAAAAATTATGTATGGAAGATATGACTCTATTAATGAGTACCACCTTTCTTCTAAATGCCTTTGACCTTCTCCCTGAACCAGCAGCTCAGCATACAGAAATTTAGTAGATAAGGCCCCTTTGGACTGACGTGGAACTGCTGGGACTGGGCTTCTTTGCCTGCCCGCCCAACAGAGACGTAGCAAGGAAGCACATGGCAGGGCTAAAGGCAAGCCTTTAAGAAGGCTGCCCATGCCCGTGGAGTCCTCTTTCCCTGCTTTCGCATACTAAGGGAAGAGTACTGTGTCAGAGCCAAGCGCTTTCGGTTTTGCCAACTGCTCCAACCAGTGCTTGGTGCCCTTCTGATTTGGGCTGTGCACTGGCAGAGCCCCAAGGTTTTTATTTATTTATTTATTTATTTATTATTTGTTTGTTGGTTGGTTGTTTGTTTGTTTATATCCCGCCTATCTGGTTGTTATGACCACTGTAGGCAGCTTACAAAATCATGATACAATGATAAAATAAGAAGAAGAAGAAAAGAAGAGATTTCATTAAATAATCAAAGATGGGGAGGAAAATGAAAGATAAACCACAAGAAGAAAAGAAACAGATAATAACTGGAGGGGAAGGCCTGCCTGAACATCCAAGTTTTTAGCTGGTTTTTAAAAATACCCAGCAAGGGGCCGCGCAAATCTCTGTTCCAGAGGTGAGGGGCCATCGCCGAAAAGGCCCA